TAACAAACAAAATGTGTTAATGAATTTATAGTTGAAACATAACCATATCTAAAATGTTAAAAGTGAAAGAATCTTTTTAATACTATTTTTAAAATCTATATATTTCATGAAATATGAAAGATTTTTTTCTTATTAAAAGGTTTAAGCACAATAAAAAAGAAAATCTTACATTCAATCCAACTTTATATTTTAACCACATATTTAACTTAAAAAAGATCTTAACTCTTTTATTTGTCAACATATTAGGAAAGAACAAAGTCTCAAATATTTCTCTACGATGAACAAAAAATCATAATATATATAAACTCATGAGATGAAAATAAATGACAAAAAAATGATAAATAATCATACTACAAATATTGATTAGAAAATGATTGATAAATTATCTTCAAAATTGTAATTGGTTATTTAGATAACATGATTTATTTAATGATTATATATAATGATCTTAGATAAATATATTTTAAAATAGTAACTATCGATTTCAAAATAATTGATAATCACTTCATGTTTTCAAGTATTATTAATACTTAATCAGAAAATTTATTTATTTATTTTAAAACTAATATTATTTTGTATCTACAAACATTGGTTGTTTTATCATACTTAGATACTAAATTACTAAATAAATAAAAATCTATTAAATCTGATAAAATTGTATAACAAAAATGTATAAATAAAAATCTGATAAATAAAAATCTATTAAATCTGATAAAATTGTATAATAAAAATCTATTAAATCTAATATGATCATCTTCTAGTATAAAATAATAAATGAAACTTCATTATGATTTTACCAAATTGACAGTCTCTGTGGGCATATATGTACGTTACGTTGTGTATGCTTAAATGACACTCTAAATTTACGGTGCATGTGTAGTGTATGAGTAATATTATAAATATTTTTTTATTTTATTTTAGAAAGATATAGTAATTATTTGCATGCACATGTATATCAGTGGTCTGCATATGTAACGTAACTCACTACTTCACTTTTTGGTATGCGACTTAAATTTCAGTATTTTGACTTATTCAGTTATTCATAAATATACACACACCGGTTTGTGGAGACTCAATATTTTTTTGTATTATTGCAATATAATTAAGAATATCAGGTAATAGTAACAAAAAAAAACTGGATAACATTGATCCAATCAAATTTATTAATTTTCCCGTCAGTTTGTTTATTTAATAAAAATTGAACTGACTTCTTGAAACAGATGCCATGACTACCCATGAGCAGAAGCATCAACGGAATATATAATAATTTACATGTTTTTTTTCAGCTATTTTCATTTCTATAAAAATTACTTCAGAAACCGAAAAATGAAAACCTCCAAATTGTAAAAACAAAAAAAAATTTTGATTAATCCGACATCACATGTAATGACTGTCAGCATCCTCTCGTACAACGGATGTGTGTTCCCTAGGACATATATCCCATAAAATATAAATGGTCCATAAAATTACCAAATTAAAGTGCCATCAATCTTGGAGGTGTCACCTAGTTGTTTATTTCACTTGTTTTTCATAGGTTCCGCCATTTTAGTTTCTTCGTTCGAAAATGAATCTCAAATTTATACTAAAAAATAGTGATCCTTATATACTAGTATATGTGTGTGTGATACCAATCAATAGATAAACAGTCTCTAGCAACAACAATTGCACATTTATTTAATGACCAATATGCCAAACTTAAAACTTTAGATTCAAAATTAGCTATGAATGATACCGTAACTCACTATATTTTTTTTCAACACAACGATAACATTAACTTATATTCTATCCGTTTAAAAATAACTGATTTTCTAAAATTTTCACACATATTAAAAAAAAATTATTGTTTAATTATAGATATATAATTTTTGTACTAGACAATTTTCTATAAAAAAATCAATAACAATTCAATAAAATTATTGATATGTGTTGAAATGTATCATCAATCATTATTATTCCATAAAAAATGTATAAAATCAATTTTTATAAAACCAAAAAAATTTCTACAACATGGATCATTTTAAAGAGGAATGAGTACTATATAAAGAGTTCCAAAACAATTCTCATAGTATGTTAAAGAAATACAGTAAAAGACAGATCGAATTGTTTGATAATGAGCTCAAGTCATGTGGTATTGTTCTTGGACACAAGCTACACAAAAGTGAGCAAAAAACTCATAGTTTTACTAAACATCATGATGACACGTGGAAGAAATCCGTGACGTCGGATCCACATGCTCTTACTTTACGCAGTGCCACGTGATGGAGAAACGAAAAAGCGTCACATGATTGGGCAGGATCTAATGAACTGCATATCCAATCAAGTATTGACACATTTCAAAAATGACAGACCTTATCACGTGTACTTTATTCCGACCGTCCCCTCTCGCAAGTGCCCGTCCCGTCAATCCGTCAGTACCGTTCTTTCTGCTAATTTTTTATTTTGTTAATGGATTTTTTCTGCTAATTTTTTAGAAATGC